CCAATATCATAAATTTATTGAAGGAAAAAAAAAACACCATCACCCAAAAAAGGACACTTCAGAGTGTATACGGGCAAAAAGGGCATGTGCTCTGCACAGGTTGAGCCCTACCTGTGCACGTGCCTGACACTGATGGTCTGTGCCCCTTATCCTATGGATAAAGCACAGTTGGTGCCTTTTTACATTTTCCAGAATCACTTCTCTCATTTACCTGTGCAATAGTGCAGCAAGTCACGCTATTACTAGTAGGCTATTCTAAAATATCACTAATAAACCTTTGATCTTTAATCAAAGGTTTATTGGTGATATTTTAGAATAGAATTGTTCACCCATTGAATAGTTCACCCACAAATGAAAATTTGCTGAAAGATCTTCTGAAAGAACTATATAGCCTACAAAGGCTTCAGATTAGAAGAGTCATGGAAAAGTCATGCAAACTGAACTTTGATTTAATATTCAACATTTTATGAGACTTAATCAGATGCGAGGATGAAAATGAACCCCTGCAGTTTGGAGCAGTTTAGTATGATTGATTCTTCAGAGGGTTTTGCTATATGTGCTGAGAATCACTCATATAGGTTTTATTTGGACCAACAAAAATAACAGTGTAAAAAAAATTTAATTTGCTGAAAATGTACTTGCCCTCAGGCCATCCAATATGTAGATGAGTTTGTTTCTTCATCCGAACAGATTTTGAGAAATTTTGCATTACATCACTTGTTCACCAGTGATACACTGCAGTTAATGGGTGCCGTCAGAATGAGAGTTCAAACCAGGGGTGCCCAAACTCGGTCCTGGAGGGCCGGTGTCCTGCCGAGTTTAGCTCCAGCTTGCCTCAACACACCTGCTTTGAAGTTTCTAGTATGCCTAGTAAGACTTTGATTAGCTGCTTCAGGTGTGTTTGATTAAGGTTGGAGCTCAACTCTGCAGGACAGCGGCCCTCCAGGACCGAGTGTGGGCACCCCTGGTTCAAACAGTTGATAAAAACATCATAATAATCCACAAGTAATCCACACCACTGCAGTCGATCAGATAACATCTTGTGAAATTAAAAGCTGCATGTTTTTTCAAGAAACAAATCCGTCATTAAAGTTTTAAGTTTAAACCACTTCTGTCCTAAATAAATGCCCATAATCCATTATAATATAATAACATAATAATATCCCTTGTTTTCCTCTCACATTAAAATCCACTGACATATTTGTTAAGAAATGTCTTGGACTGTTTTTGCTTGTAAATGGTGCTTGATCATGTGCATAGTTCTCTTTTGATTCAGATGAGACTTTTTTTCACCAAAGAAAGAAATATTGTGAATAGAGGACACATATTTTAGCTGGAAGCAACAGTTTGAAGTAAAAAATGTCTTAATGATGGATTTGTTTATTAAATACACACAGATTTTCACGTCACAAGACATTGATGGACTGGAGTCGTGTGGAATACTTGTGAATTACTGTTGCTTTTATCAGCTGTTTGGACTCTCAATCTGACAGCACCCATTTAATTTCAGTGGATCCATTGGTAAACAAGTGATGCAATGCTACATTTCACCAAATCTCTTATGTTTTGAAGAAACATAATTTACAGTTTGGATGGCCTAATGGTTAGGTAAATGTTTTTTTTACACTAATACTTTTGTTGGTCTAAATAAGACATTCCTATGAGTGATTCTCAGCACATATACCAACACCCTTGAAGAATCAATCATGCTAAACTGCACTGTTTACACCATTAAAACCATTTTAACTAAGCCTTTGCTTCTTGTGCTTAGGTAACCAAGGCCAGTGATGATTGGTACTGTAAATTGCAAGTGGATGTGCTGTTATATTATTATATGTTTTAATTTGATTCCAATATAATTCCATGGTTGAACCTGAATTATATTATGAAGTACAAGTATAAATGACCACTCACCAAACTTTACTGTCAAAAAATATCGTGCAGTTCTTAGTGCAAGTGTTTTCAATCTTATATGTCGACCACGAGGGGGTGCTGTAGTAATAGTTCTTAATGTAATGGTGTTACGTTGTTTCCTAATTACTCAAGTCATTGTCCTAATTACTCTCCCCTCCCTCCAGGACATTTACAACACCCGTCTCACACGCAAAGCCCTCTGCATTGCAGGTGATCCCACCCACCCGACACACAGCTTCTTTAGTCTGCTGCCATCAGGGAGGAGACTGCGGAGTCTCCAGGCCAGGACCAGCAGACTGAAGGACAGCTTCATCCATCAGGCTGTCAGGAAGCTGA